CCGGCGGACGCATCACAGATGAAGTGTCGGCGCGCATATAAAAGGCTCGATTGGCATTTGTCAACTTGAGACATCTGTGGCAGCGCCGCGATATCCGGCTGTCTGTGAAGAGTGTATGTACCAGCACTTCGACCAGCTCTGCCATATAGCGCAGAAATCTGGTCATTAAGAAAACAAGGTAAACATAGACTTTCGGTGTTCGAATATTGTTGCTACACAATATTGCACGAATCTGGTGGGGCAACCGGACTGGCAATGCTGAGATTAGACACAGAGTTCTAGGTAATCGCGATCGTCCACTGGAGCAAGTAGTCGGCCACCATAGATTACGTTGGTTGCGGCATGTTGCGCATGTTATCAAATACGTTGCCACGCCACATGATGTTTGCCGAGGTAGATAGTGAGTGGAATAAAGCCAATGGTGGTCAAAATAAGACCTGGCACATGGGTATGAAAACCTTAACCAGGAGCCTCGGACAGATAGGTGGCGTTAGGCTCCCTGAATGGAGGCCTCGGGATCATTTTAGAGAGACAGAATGATATGGCTGAGTCTCGCAAACAGTGACATCCGTATATCTTCTCAATTTTTGGAACCTTAGTCTATCGGAATTCTTCATGCTTTCTTCGAGGCTGTTTTCGACCTTCCAATCTTCCTCCTACCTCTTCATCCAAAGGACAGCAACCAAAACCGCCACAGGAAAGTGCGTAGTCAATAATTGTACAATGGCCGACGAATGAGTGTTCACAAGCCGTGGTCCGTTGGAGCTCAGTCAACAGCGAACAGCAAATCCGCGTCCAGTTACGCTTTGTGAAAATGAATATACCACCTTTAATAGAGGACTAGAACAAAAGGTGGCTCTATACGTAGAGTGTATCGAATCCGCATCGTCAAAGTACACGGATCCAATGGTACCTATAAAACCTCCGGAATACCGTACAACCTCAGTAACTAAAGCAGGATTTCAAGAAAAAAATGGGATTAACGATTTGTAACGGTATGTTTTTGAGGATGCTTCAATTGGTTAAATGGGAATACGTATTGTTCAATTTATGTTATTGGTTGGCGTCGCTAGCGGTACAGTCCACAGGGTAATCCTGATGATCTGCGACGAAGCTAATCGGCAATTTACACTTAGACGCTGGGAGCAACTAACCCTATCCGACCCAAATAGCATCATAAGTCAGTCAAACTAACGGTGCAAGCGTTACCAAGGATAATGGAGTTTCATTCCCGCACTGGAACAGGGATAATCTTTGTATCCGTGAGATAACTAACTGCAAAAGATGAATTTATCGAGCAGTGACAAGGGAAAATCATCACACGGACAGGGAAGACCCTGACTCTCCTAATTTGACGATATTAGTCCTTTTTCTTCACTTACAAAATGACTCGTGATCGGGGTTTTGTGTCAAGTTAAACAAAAGACACCAACACTTTACCGGATTGATACAAAAGCAGGGCACATTGAGCACATATAAAATGGAATTCTACACCACTGACCTCCTAACAAGAATAAGATTAGAACACGGAAACCAACAAAAATCGCAAGCGAACACTGCAAAAGTACTGCACAGTTTACCGTAGACAGAAAAAAATAGAGCTGAGGAAACTGTGGAAAAAGTAGCATATCATGTGGTTACTGGTAGTCATGATGCCTAAAGAAATATCGATTGGTACTGCGAACGATCGAATTCGGATGAGTAGAGCAATTTCTTCTGGTAATTTTACGGTAGTGACAAACCCGTGTGATTGACTGAGAGGTTACCTAGCTCGACAGCGTAAAAACAGCTTTAAATCAGGAAAAGCAAAACGAGTGAACTGTCACGTGCGCTAAAATATTACGATGCACTATTACACCGGAGATATACATATACAAGTTAACGTCCCAAGTGTAGGTTCCCCAGGTTAGTTAGGTTCAGTCGAATAAACAATGAATTTGTGCCAATGACGTTCAGATGACAAGAGCAAATTTACCGTAGTTGTTATTATTTCACACACGGAATCACTGTTTTCGTTCTGTTTTACACGCGTATTTTTCGGTAAACAAAGTCAATGCACCAATCACCGCTGAAAACCCATGAACACTGATTAGTTCGCTGCTAATAAATCATCGGCATTGCGTTTCAACCACTTCAACTGATATTCCAACTCGGACACAAATGGTCATTCTTCCCACGCGCTAACCATCAGAGGCTGTCCGGGTTGGCTCTCAAAGGCTCGCTACAGGAAAAGAGAAAAACGCTATAGCGCTCAGCTATGGCCGTCATTCACACTACCAGACAGCTATTGACTCATCTGTATTTCTCACGCCAACTCACTCTACAGACTCAGTATGTACAGATGTAGAGGAATCCAGCTGAGATGTTGTGACTAATGTTTACTACAGTTTAGTATGATGAAGAGCAAACGGGGATAAACACCATAGTTACGAGGACCTGCTGTTCACTGATAGAAAAACTGATGAAATATGCACTATGTTGACGATCCCTAGCAAGCTGGACGAAACAACTACCAAGGCTTTTGAATTGCGAGTGGCACGTTGACTCTGCTCGAGGAAGACGCCTTAACATACATAGGAAGCCTCCTAAACCACTCCGCAGGACTAACTTTTGCCTATTTAATGCGAACCGGCGAAATTCAGAATCAAGACAACATCCACTAAGCGATGAAATAAAATAAAATATGTTCCCTTAGTTAATAGGGGTGTCACTAATGACAAACACCATTGCTTACCGTTGAGATCAGCCTGAGTGAAACTGAAAGCACTGGAAGAGGCACGACGCAGGGATTTATGCACGCTATTCTGTGAAGAGTATTTCAATTCGGAGAGTCCCGTTGGTACAGAAACCGAATCACGACGAGCAGTGAACAATGACGGGCTGCTCAAAGCTTCATTTTGGTTAGCAGAAACCATTTCGTTTACGTCCGTTACCTGCCAGGATGCGGGAACAAAACGATTCCACAAAGTGCCAGACAGCACACTGTGTCGCCGTCGTTGATTCTGTGGGGATAGTCTGCCACTACCAATACTGGTCTTTGAGTTCGTAGAACTGAACCGATTTTCATCAACACCAGCATAAGCTAAGACAATGGGAGGAATGAATAGACAAGAGCAAAATAAAAATATTAAGAAATCAGCGATATCGCATCAAAATATGTAGATAGAGACCCGTGCAAGGCTAACAATGTACAGATTGTCATCATCATCATCATCATCATATAGCGAAATACAGTGAGGCGAACTTCATTGATCGCTGACAATCTATTAATGTACACAAAGTGAGTGAGAAAGTAAAAGATGGATAGTGTTTGGGTCTAATTGGAAGGGGGCAACGAAAGTGAACCTGTATGATCAAAACAGGGTACACAATTCANTCTGGCCTGATAAGAAATGGAAACAACACCAATGCTGTCGGTTAGTTGCCACATTCTTCAGTCCCCAATCAACCAGTTACAGTCTTTCAGACTGCAACCCAGAAGACGAGCGACACGAACTATACTTGATTGCTCTGCGCATTTTTTCATGCCTCGTTCGCACGTCATCTTTTGAACTTCACGTGGTTTCCTCCTCCACCCTGGAGCCACAACGAGAATAAGGCGCGATGACGTAAACGACAGCTAGGCATATGCATTACGTGCCCCAGACAGCGAAGCCTACTTAAACGAATTCTATGTGATAACGAATTTTCCGCCGAATCATTAGCAAATAGGCGACGAATTTACTCAACGCTATTTACAAACTCACTCCATCCAACCCGCGCTGAACCCACGCAAACATCGGCAATGGAAGACCTCTAGAGGATGAATATCTTCCACGCGCAAATCAAGGGTCTCGCAACCGTAAAGTAGAACTGACCGCACAGTGGAGCAGCATACGAGATCTTTCAGTTTCAAGAACACATTACGTCTGTACGAAAGGTGTTTCAGTCCTGCGTAAGCTACTCGAGCCTTGGAAATGCAGGCGGTTACTTCATTGACTATGCTACCGTCATTTGTCACGCAGCTACCTAAGTAGGTGAAACATTCCACTACAGCTAATTCTTGACCATCAAGCACGAGCCAGGGTGGATGACACTTAATCTTGTAGCATAAACTTGCACTTAAAAGGTGCAAAACGCATATCAAATGGAATTGCAGAACTTGAAAGTCTACCAAGAACGCTTTGCGCATCCTCCATAGATTCGAACAGGCATACGATGTCATTGGCGTACTCTAATTGGCACAGCTTTTCTCCAGCTGCCCATTCAATACCTACGTTCTGGAGACCAGTAAGTGCGTTCTCCAGTACTTCGTCTTCGACGAAATTGAACAGAAATGACGAAATAGGGTACCCTTGACGGACACCGCTCCTGGTTTCGAACAATTTACTTACCCCACCGTAGACCTTTCGCTACCAGAAGTATGCAGGTACAGCGACTGCCATGGGTTTACATACTTCCGCGGCATTCTTTTGCGAAGCAGTGCACCCGTTAGGGATTCACGGCCAACTGAATCGAAGGCTTCTTTTTAGGTCAAGGAACACTG